TCTAAGCTGTACATTGTTAAAATACCATTGTATATCTAATACAATAAAAAAAAACCAAAAGATTTGTTAGAGGCAGCATTCTATGTTAATTGGCTATGCTATGCATTGTACTCGTACCTAAAGTTTATGTAAGTATGTAAATGTGCGGAAATACTTTACCTGGTTTGGGATTTCCTGCAAATTGAATTTCGAATTTGGCTATTTCGCCGCTGGCTGCACGGCAATCACGCAATTCATTAACTATCGATGGCGAGCATTTAGCGGCTACAAGCAAAGAAAATTGCGAGATTCATATATTTTGATTAGCAAAAGCTAACATTTTACAGCGTGGTGTATAAGACGTCTAATTGTCGATAAACACAAGTATTCTACAAGGTAAGTATTTGAAAATTAGAGAGGAGGGAAGGAACCTAGGTAGTAGTGTATGTATTGGTGTCAATCATGCTAATAGCCGTGGGTATTGATGTCCTAATTTCTACATTCAAGTTAAACAAATAAGAGTTTACAATGTTTAAAAAAACTAGAAGTCAGATGCTTTACCAACCAGCATTACCAATAATAACCAGTGTACGAAATTTTCAGTTTTTTCTTGGGAATCGATGAAACCAAGCATTTATGAAAGTTTGAATTGTATATAGAAAAGTAGTTTCTCAGTTTTATCAGGACGGCGATTTTAAGAGTGTTTATCAATGTGAAGATGGTGGTCGCAGAGCAGCATTTAAAACAATTAAAATTTATTCAAATGCAAATATTTATACATTTAAAAGGCCTCTCTGGGCGGGTTTTGGTGTCCGAAGAATCTGAATTAGCATTTTAGTTTTACTAAAAACGGCCGCTTGAGTGCGCTTTGATGCAAAATGCATGAAGGAAAAGTGCAAACAATGTTTCTCAACAATGTTGCTAAGCAATGTTTCCTCATGTTCTATTGCACCAAAGTGCAATGGGACCAATAAACAACTTTATCCTAACCATTTCGGGAATAGTTCGTGACTATTTCAGGATCATTTTGTGACTAGTTTCTAACTACCCGGAAATAGGGTAAGGTCCTTTAATTAATTATATTTTTGTCACTTTTGTGGGTGTTTATTAACATTTCTTAACAAAAAGTTAATTTAGCAACAAATTGCTTAACCCTGCAAGGTCATGCTTATTTTGAAAATATTTTCTTACAGCCTATGTGTAAACAACAAAGAAACACTAAAAATATGTGTATATAAAGGCACGAAAATATCCATGCAACATAATGCTAGATAAACATAATTTCCCTGCACACCAAAGTTCACGAAATCTTAACGAAATCTTTCGGAGCATCTAATTTCTGTAACGATTTTTTTTACAAATCTTCAAAGGAAATTATATGAAGTGGTTGACACGAGCTCGTAAAGAAATTTTTGTATGAAAAATAAAGAAAATTCTGAAAAAATCCTGCAAAAAATTCTTCACATAGCAGCATTATTTTCATTGCTTTACCGACTTTCTTTCCAAAGTTTCGTAATAAATAGAATCGAAGTGTGCACCGTTTATTTAATTTTAGAAAATTCGGCACAAAATCGGATGAGATCTTTACGAATTCTTTTAAATTTCTCTACAATTCAGAAAGCTCTGAACAAATAATTGGCAGGGTTGATAAAACAGCTATGTACGAGTACTACATATGTATGTATGTAAGTTTCTTTTGAGTTAAAATCAAATTATTGCATTAAAAAAAAATAAATCTATAAAAATTAATAATTTTTTCCAAACCCTGAGATTTCTGTGGCAAACCCTGAGCAACGAGATTCGACCGGAAGCCCCTGAATCTCAGCGTGAAACATACAATCTGAACTAGCCCCAAAATTGTCTTGAGGTAGTCTTGAAGAGGTTCTGAAAAAGTCGTGAACTTGTCGCGAAAGGATCTTGAACAAGTCTTGAAACGTTTCCGAAATGGTTATTTGCTAGACCCAAAATGATTCCAAACAAGTTCCGAAATGTTCCTGAAAAAGTCGCGAACTATCCCGAAATGATCCTGAAGTAGTCACGATATAAACATGAACTAGTCTTAAATGGCCCAGAACTACATCCAAAAAACTCTTCGTGTGCATGTCAGAGTGACAGTCTTGAATATCGTACTAATTCCTCTTATGTAACTTTTTCCTGCCTAGCAATTTCTTCTTCTGTTATGTTTGTCGTTAAAAGGTTCGAAAGGCAAAGTGTCAGAATTTGATTTGGCAAAGAGGTGTTTATAAAATGCATTCAAACGCATTTGAGAGAGGATGTAATGCCCACTAAATTTATATCTTGCCAACACTTACACACGTGATTAATCATGGTAAATATACAAACTTCGTGTTACCCTAATTCACGGAAAGTTGTAACAGTGATTCCGGTAGCCAAGAAAAGGTCTGCTGATAGTCCGAATGACTTTCGTACTATAAGTATTTTACCCGCACTGTCTAAAGTCCTTGAATCCTTAATATCAGAACAACAAATATACTCACATGTTAATGAATTCAGCTCACTATCTCTATATCAGTCTGGCTTTAGAGCGAAAAATAGCGGTTCGACTGCTATGATCAAAATTCTAGATGACATAAGAAAATCGTTGGACAAGTCACCTAACATTACTTTGACCGCTTGACTTTTATAAAGCTTTTGATTCTTTTGGGTACGTTCCACAAAGAACAAAATGTGAACCAAAGTTCCCGGAACGTTCTGGAAAGAACAGAACGGGAACAAAAGTCGAGGAAACTTTCACTTGAAGAAGAATTTGGAAACTAAAGTCTCAGGAGATTTCTCAGAGAACGAAGCGGGAAAAAACTTCCCCGAACTATTTACGAAGCAAGGACGCGTTAAAATATGTTTCCATTAGTTTAAAATGTTTGAGTATTAAATTTAATTAAACAAAGCACTTAAAAGTAATCATGCAAATTAAGTCAACGCAAGACTTAAGACACGAACTTTCCTAGCACAGAAAATGAAAACCAATCTGGAAGTTGAAATGAGCCAGGTTTCCTCTGGCTCAGAATTAACGATCATGGTTCTCACTGATACGATATTTTATCCCAACACGCTGACGAGCCTCTCATTGTTAAAGTTAAGTTCTCAAAACGTTTGATCTCGTTTTGTTCTCTAGCAGAACGTTACCCAGACTTTTGTTCCTATTTCATCCTCTCTGAAAACGTTCTCCATACTTTCGTTCTCATTGGAAACGTTGCTGAAAGTTTCATTCTCATTTTGTTCTTCTTGAAACGTTCTCGAACCTTTTGTTCTAATTTTGTTCCCGTTCAAACTGCTCTCAATACTTTTGTTCCCGTTTGGTTCTTTTGTGACATTACATTTTATTCTCGTGCATAACTAAACTAAAACCGAAACGCGTTCTCGGTCCCTGTTTGTTGGAAAGAGTGATTCTGCGTTGGATTTGTAAGCTACGTCCTGAAAGCTAATACTCTGCACATTTCCTATTACTCTTGTCAATTCCAATTAACTATTGATATATTGTCAAGTCCAGTTTAACCTCGTCTCCAAATGTCTTGTGGTGGCCTAAACTTTTGTTTACAGTCAACTCTTGTATGGTGCAACAGATAACAAAGTTTTCGCTTAAAAGGTGTGAACGCGTCTCTCAAGGCTTTTGCTTAGGAAATTTATGCAAATTTCTTTATTTTTTTTATGGATTATTTTGCTATGCGGCACTATTCTAAAATTGCGTATTAGTCTTCTACTTTATTGTAAAATGCTTTCATTTTTATTTGTACTTACATGAGTGTTGTTGTTTTTTTGAAGACGGCAGTGTTATGTTTTTAAGTTTCTATATTGAATATGTTTGTCTGTTTTAGAGCTCTGTGTGAATGCACTTATTGTTTTTATGCGTACAGACGAAAATTAGTAACATAAAGGTTGAAAATATTAGACACAATAACACAGTAAAATATATGTATTTACATGATACACCGTAAAAGCCAGTTTTAATTAGAAAAATTAGTAGCGCTAGTTATATGTGGAGTTCAACAAATGTGTGGAATAGGAGTGTTGTTAAAAAGCAAATTTTGGGTTTCTAAATGTTTACTACGCGTTTAGGTTAGGAGCTTTGATTGTTATGCAAAGTCTATCAAAATTTTTTGTTCTTTTTTCTTGTTAATTATATCTACTTGAGTTCAAATCACGATGCCAATGTTTTTTTTTTTATATGATGATATATGGGTATTGATACTGTAAAAAAGATATGTACATATTTAACGAAATTTTTTCTAATTCTAAATGTAATTGAAATCTCTGTTGTTATGGCGTATACTTTTAGGGGGGGCTAGTGTTGATATTTAATTTTCTTTGTAAAGGATGGGGACTTGGGGTAAGCTTTATGGCCTTTTGGTGCTAGCTTTTACGTTACACACTAAAAAAGCTTTATATTTATATGTATGTAAGTATGTATACATATTTGTCTACTTTTTGAAAAGAATAAAATTTGTTTTATATACATCTTGTCGCATTGATTCGAAACGAATTCAGTTTTAGGTAGACTTGAACAAAACAGAATAGTGAGGAAGTAAGAAGAAAAATAAAACATAGAAAATAGCGACAGATTGTTGTTGATTTTCGTTTTTAACAGACAAAAATTATGCGATTTATTATTATTTTTTGGTTGAAGTAGAAAAGTAGAATTAAAACACATATACACATATAGAAAGGAGAGTAACACACTGACAAAAATATTTTACAAAAATTATACCAATCCACACGGAACTGGCATAAAATTCTAGTGGATAAATAAATGCAAACTTACCTTTGAGCGCCTTCTGCATCTCCTCCATGTGTGTAACCCATTCCGGTTTGCGATAATCCTTGGTTCCAACGATACCTACATTGTTGTTTTAATAAGGTAATAATATAGGAGAAATTAAAATTAATAACAAAATCGACACGTACTAAAGCCATAAACCTGTTTAATATTTTATATGTAATTGTTTAATAAACAGTACATTGTGTAGATATATATATATATAAAGAATAGTGCAGAAATTGTATTGTAAATCCCTAAATATTTGTACGTTTTTTTGTTTGTAAAAAAAGGTTTGGTAGTTGGGAATTTATATACAAAGGTTTTTTTGGGATAGGATTTATCTTTATATGCTGCTTCCTGTAAAGTAAAATTTTAAACATTGCACAACAAAATCGCATGTAAATTACAAATTCAGTTACGAGCGTATAAGCCATACAATCACTAAAGTACTGTAAGCCCTACCTTCAACCGCGAAGAGCGCCGTTGTCACTGCTATACCCAATGGATTGTGGGCCTCAAAGCTAATAGTGCCCACATCATCGGGATATACGTGATTGATCACGAGCACTGATGTGCCATCTTCGAAATTTTCGATTTGATATTCTTCCGATGCGAATATCTCCTCGTCGTCGCGCAGCCATTTAACCTTTGGCTTAGGTTTGCCAATTACTTTAACTTCCAATTTCGCTAGTTCACCCTCCTTGGGTTCGATTTTTTCTGGCAATTTCTTAATAATTTTCGGTGGTTGTTCGTCGATAGATAAAGTCTGTGAAAGTGTTTATATGAAAATTTATATATATATAAAAATTTTGTGCATTTAAGTAAATATACGCATACTTTATCTAGGAGATCCTCCTCGGAACCGGTGAGTCCAGTGATTTCAGAATCGGGGATATATTCAAATGCTATAAAAATGAAATAGAAGTTCAAGATTTTTTAATTAGTGACAACACAGGAATTTAATGTGTATAATAATGCTAAATAATAGGGAAAGTAGAGAAACTTCATAACAAACAAAAGAGGCTAAAGCAAACATTCGAAAAAAGTATGATAAGAAAGAAACCAACTTAAGTTTTAGGTTAGAAATAGGTATAAATTATTGATTTTTTATGCAGGTATGATAAATATCGGTTTTTTTACACTTGTAGGTTACCCTAAACCTGGGGCAATCTTTTTCCACAAGAAATTTCAGCACAAAAAGCAATAGTGAAATACCCACTGCGATTGTAGGCTTTTCATCAAAAACTCATTGGAAATACCCCGGCACACTAGAAAGGAGCGGAAAGACAATATCTACAAAAAACCCTTTGAAAAAAAAAATCGTCGATGCCTCTGCAAAACCGCCGATTGACCAGTTGGAAAGCCGCCTAAATTGCCGTTGTAGCAAAAATGAGATTTGGTAGCCCTGAACTCCAGGCATCGAGATTTATGCATAGAAATCGTCTAATCGTTATTAAAACAATAGATTTATAAAATAATAGCTAAAGAAAATATCGCCTTTCAAGTCAATGCCCTCAAAGAGAAAGTTTTTTTTGCCCTTCTGTAAAATTTGAGTGTCGTAGGATTAGCGGTTTTGCAGGGGAATGGGTCTATTAAGGGGAACTTAACATCAAGGCGTAAGCCACAAATCGGTGGAGAAGCTCGGCCTTACTATAACTTTCTGATTTTGGGCTACAGTGGCTGCTTTTCAGTCAGAAGACTTACTATTTGATACGCGTGAAAATTAGTGTTAACCTCAGATTTACAGCGAGGCAGCATTAAGAGCTTTGGCACCAGTAAATCTTATTTAATACATTTGCAGATGTATTAAACAAAGATGGATGAATTGACAACGAAACATTCACAGCTTTTAAGAGCGCAAAAAATGGCTCAAAATCTCTCAGACTGGCCAATTTAGAAGCCGAAGCTGTGCTTGCAGGTTATGGAAGGATCGGTTTTCTAAACTTTTTCCCTTTCTTCTTGTTTGGCGCTGTAACCGCCTAAGCGATTTTGGCCGAGTCCCATTAAGCATGAGAACCATTCACTTAATATCAATAAAAATAATATTAAAAAATGAAATGAAATTA